GCCATTGCGATCAGTTTGTGTTGTTATTTTCTATAAAATAAATGGAGTATCTGTGGTACTTCAAATAAACACATTTTTTTTTGCAAATCAACAGGTGGTGCCAAAGCCCAAACGAAGGGCAGCTACAACAAATTATCATTGTAATCTCCACAATAATACTGGTTGTCACCCTGGCCCATATCATTTCCTGTTATAGACTAACCTCGGCCCCCCATCTCAGAAAGGAAAGTTGATGTGGCCCCCACTGAAAAATGTTTGGGGACCGCTGTTGTAGACGGACAGATTAGAAAAGCACAAACACTAGAATCTATATCTAGATCCTGTATTGTCACTGTTGAAGGGAAGCTACATTTAAACATTTGTATCATTTTTGTTGTTGATTAAAGCCAACATAGAAAGTCTTGAGATTCATTACAAATTCAGGAAAAAATTCAATATGTTGTGTGATTTCTATACTGTGAGTGCTGCTGCTTTTAATATTCATACCAGACATGCTCCATAAAAACCATCAACAAAGCAAAGCTTCATAAAAAACTTTATTTCACATTAAAACTGCATTCATTTAAACAATTTACACCACTGGAGAGGTGTACAAAAGAATGTAATAAATGGATGAATTAAATAATGTGTGCAATTTACAATCAACTGTAACTGACAAATTAAAAATAAAAGTTTGCATCATAAAGAGGTGGATACATTTTCTATTCAGTAACAAGTATAAATTATAGTAGAAATGTAAAAATAATACTTCATAGCTAAGTGAGGATAGTGCAACAGTAGATGTAGCCAAGGAGAGTAGAAATGTTGTGAAAGCAGTTTTGAACTTTTAGATTTCATCCAAATTAGAAGAAGAAAAAAAAATGATTATAAAATCTTTTTCCAGTTTAAGGCCATTATTTTGAATTCTGTGAATATGTTGTAGCTTTTTATGACATTTCACTGTATTTTAACTCCAGATAATCTAAACTTTTTTAATCGTTATGTATCAAACTTACATGCTGTACCATACAGAAGTACGGTGGCTGAGTAGGAGCAAAGTCCTCAAACGATTTTTTGAGCTTAGGGAAGATATTGCTCTTTTCATGCAGAGTAAAGGAAAACCCTTGTCTGAACTGTCAGATCCAAACTGGCTGTGTGACTTTGCTATGTTGTGTGACATAACTGAGCATCTCGCCCAACTGAATCAGAAGCTGCAGGGACGCAAACAAGTCATCACGCAGATGTCCGACATGATCACGGCTTTCCAGCATAAACTTGATCTATGGATGTACCAAGTGAAACAGGACAATCTTGCCCACTTTCCTGTTTGTCAGAGCATCTCAGCCGCATTTCCTGGTACTTTTTCATGTACTCAGCTAGCTACCAAACTGAGCCGGTTAATGAATGAGTTTGATCGGCGCCTCTCTGACTTTAGAGCACAGCACTCAGGCTTTGCCATCTTTGCCAATCCTTTCACCACCAACGTCTGCACTGCACCCCAACATCTTCAGATGGAGTTAATAGAGCTTCAAAGCGATAGTGGCCTGAGAGCAAAGTTCCAGGATGCTGCAATCCAGGACTTTTATCGTCAACTGCCCCCTGGTTTGATGCCACAGCTTCGACTTCATGCTGCCCATGTTCTGTCTATGTTTGGGAGCACCTATCTGTGCAAGCAGATGTTTTCAATCATGAATCTAAACAAGACCAAGCACAGATCACGCATCACTGATGACAACCTCCATGATGTTCTACGGATTGCCTCAGCAAAAGACCTAAAACCAGCCATTGACACACTTGCCATGGAAAAAAGGTGTCAGATATCTGGTCAGAAAACACATAGGTAAGCATTTTTAATTAATTACCTAATTAAAATATATTAAAATGTATTTCAACCAAGAACAAGAATAGTTAAACTGTGTGCAATTTAATGATTGTGCTTGCATTTTGCTTTGTGTTTGTTATTTTTAGAACATGATCAATGGATGAGGATGGTGGAGAGGGGATTCATGTGGTGTGTTAAAGGACAGGCAGCATCTCCTCATCAACTTCACCTTAAAACTTGACCAATATAGTTGTGAACTGAGACAACCCTTGTGTTGTTATTTTGAGTTTATTACATATACTACGTTATATGTGTAGCAATGTATTTAGTGTTTGCAGGTTTATGTGTTTATGCAGACAAATGTTCACTGTAATCAAACCATCTCTCATTAGTTGGATGTATCCCCTTTGCAAGGCTGTGTGCAGCCATTTGCTTGTGTAAAATGCTACACCTGTCACACATGTTCTTAGTAGCTCACAATTGTTGATTGGACCGTTATTCTGCCCCTCTCAACTATGACAAAAAAGTTTTGAACAAAGTTAATGTCATAACTTGTTATTTATCCTTATTCACTTGGATAGTTTGATCGTTGATTGATGGAGTAATGTGGGTTTCATAAGCTGACAAATTACAAATTAAAAGGATTTATGTTATAACAGAGCAACAAGCAAACATTTCTTTTTACATTTATGCAAATATATATGTAATATTTGTAAGTTGAATAATAAAAATCCAGAGTTATTTAATATTAAAGAGTAGTTGCATTTATTTTACATTACATTTAGTTACATTTAGCTACATTTATACTGCCTCAAAGTTACATCTGGCCCTTTGAGGGCAACCATTATGCTGATGTGGCCCTCGGTGAAAATGAGTTTGACACCCCTGGTCTAACAGGTTGACTGTAAGCTATTGCAGCCGTCCATAGGTGATGGAGGTAAGGTGCATGAGCCGTTATTCATCATCAGTCTTCGTGTGTGACACAGTTGACATGTAGCAGACTCACAGTCTGAGGGAGAAGCTGTTCTGAAGTCTGTTCATGTTCTGCAGAACCAATTTAAAACACAAGGTTAGTATACGTTTTACACCATGGTTTTGCCAAATGTGTGCAGCAGTTTGCCACTTGCCTATTGGATAATCCAGCCCAGCTTCTCACCTTCATTCTTTCCCTCCCTTTCTTTCTCACTCCTCCCTATCTACTCTTCTGTCTTCTTCTTACCCGTTCTCCACCCCTCTCCTCCTGGGTCTTGATCACATATTTTTCTCCTCTCTTCTTCCCTTCAGCTTTTCACTCCTTTCTATTCCTGCTTCCTCTCCTGGTCCACGTTGTCCTGTTCGTTGTCCTGTCCTGATTTGCCGGTCCAGTCAGAGAGACTGAGAGGAAATGACACCAAGTTGAAGTTATAAATATAAATAATGTTATAATAAACTTCATATAAGATTCGAGGCTTTTGAGAAAACATGGAGCCCCATAAACCGCCCCCTCGCTCCGCCTATGCTTCACTGTTATGGTATCTCCGCGTCGGCAGATGGCAGCAGGGCTCTGAATGGAGACGCAGAGCATACAGTGAGGAAGAGGCTCTTCTGCTACAACAGCGCCACTTTTAAGTGCTCGCTGGCTCAAGTCGTCAACAACAATAACAGACGGCAGAAGTTGTCACAGTGGTCAAGGAAGAGCTAGAGAACAGTGCCACGACGGTATAGAGGCTTCAGTTATATGTGGAAGGTAAATTATACTGTTTAAGTTTGAATAATTCTGATTTTATGATGCATGAAAGTACAATTAACCATAACTGTTGACGGCTTGCGAGTAGCACGAGAGCTACTGTCCTTCCCTACCAACGGTCGCTAGGTGCTTAGCTCGCTAACGCCACTAGCTGACTGACTGCTAACATTTTATTAGCAATTTAAGAGCAATTAGACCGGTCACACAAGATGTTACAGTTTAGTTTTCAATTAATAGTAAAAACTTCCAGCTTTCTAACTTATTGTAAGATTTAGCGTTGACGTACAAGTCTTCTGAAATCTGTGACTCGATATCATTAACGGTTGCTCAGCTATGGGGGGAAGGCTGTGGAGCTGCCTAAATATTGACAAGTAATGTATGTGCTGTTATCTGTAATGATAACCAGCCTATGAGTCGGGTCATTATTACATGACCTAAATTTTTAAAAAGTCTATAAAACCCAGCCTTCTGTGAGAACATACTATATTATAACAGAGAGGAAAACAACTATTCTTTGCGTGCAGACCATTTTTGAGCAACAAACTATATTTGTTCACAACCTCGTCTGATAGCACGTTAAAATATTAAGAAATTATGATTAGTAATTTAGTTGATCTGAACCTAACCCCAGTTTGTGAATTAAACATCTCTGATGACAAAACAAACATCATATTTTGCATCCCACCTTGAGTTCTAACTGCATAAAAATAATATCAAAAGGTGTCAAATCGTGTGACTGTTCACTTACTTTAAGGTTTAATGTTGACAGTCTGAAATCTGTGACCCCTTATCAGTTCATCACCCTATTTACCGGCTGTCTATTTTTGTGTAATGCTTTTGACATTGAATATAATGTGTGTCCTTTCAAAGTGCTTCAGTCAACGGTCTGATTTTTATGGTCCTCTGATTAGATAATTAACCTTTGTGTATGCTGTGTGTAGACCTGTCACATATTTGAGTGTGCAGACATTTTTTTCAGATTTTTTTGAGTATACTGTAGCCTAAATTTATAATCAAGTCACACAATTTGATGGGTCGCATATTGCTCAAAGTTGGCCAGTAAGTTTTGTTACCTGAGTCCAAATATGTGTCCAAAGTTTTGACACACCAGAAAGTCTTATAGACAGATGCGTTGGATCAAAAACTCTTCCTGTGATGGACCCAAAGAAATCCTGCGCACTTTGGATCACTTGTAATCATTTTATTTTTGATGTTTTGATCCTCAGACCTTCAGGTAAAAATCAGAATGGACTGAAATGTTGTAATTAAAGTGAGTACAAGTGAATAACAGTGTGTGAGGACTTATTTGTTCTTCCAATAGTTATCTTAAGTAATCTATCCTAAGGACACTGACCTTATAAGCAAATAAATGTTGCAGAAATTAAGAATTGTATTGATGTGGCTGTATACTGCAAAAAAACCAAAATGTTGGAAAAATATGTTTTTTGTTTATTCACAGCTTTACCATCAGTAACAGAAAATCTCATGTCCCTGTTGACCTTTGTAATTATTCTGACTTGTAAAAAGTTTGTTTAACGACTTTTAAAAAATATGGTTTCTAGATCAAAGATGGTTCAAGACAGTGCGCAGATTCGGCGACAGGGTGCCCAGGACTTTATGGCATACTATGACTTTGCATGTGCCAAACAGGAATCAATCCCTCTCCCTGCCGTCAAGATGAACCTTGACAAAGGGATGCTGGACTTTAATGGAGACAGGCTCAAACTGACAGACTGGCCACCCATTCTCAACTCTATCTCCATCAACAAACACCTGCAGCATATTGCAATAAGTAGCACATACCAAACTAGCCTGGGTTCTGGAGAGGCAGGTAAAGCATATTTGCCTATGGTATTAACCTGTACAAGAAAAGTTAAATTAGAAACTTGAATGACTTACCACGTTTGCACACTAATCATATCACCACCAATTTCAGACAGAAGGTACTGTAAGTCTAGCTTCAGGAAGAAGATCCCAGCCATTCGCTCTAAGGACATGACATTTAAGTTGTGCAAGGCCCTGAGGGAGTGTCTGACTGTCTCTTCCAACATTAAGACTCTGCAGCTTAATGGACTTCCACTGAGAGAGAGGGACCTTATCGCCTTGACAAAGGTAAAAATAGACTAAGAATATTATGCAGTGTGAACAGTGAAGTTTTAACTATTTTATTATTATTTTTGTGTGTATTTAGAGAGACTAGCACAGAATTATCAAATCATTTGTACCTAACACTGTTTACTCCATACCAAAGATCTTGGAGTAGGAAACATAAGTTTTGGATGTGTGTGGCATAAAACATAGGTGAAAATTGATTGTTTTAGAGTGAAATTTGATAATGGGCCATATGTATTCTTTTCCAGGGTTTAGCAAAAACTGTTACCTTGGAAAACCTATCTCTGGCTAACTGTCCAATCAGTGATGAGGGCTTAGAGGGTATGCATGTTCAGAGTATTATTTTCTTTCATTGTTCTGAAAGCCATCCCAAGATTATACTGTATGTGCGCATGTTTGTAACTTTTTGTAACTGCCATTTTCATATGTTACAGTGATTTGTCAAAGTGTTAAATATTCCTCAAGCATCAGGACGGTAGATTTTGCAGGATGCAATCTCACTTGGAGAGGGGCAGAGCATATGGCCAACATCATCAAGGTTTAATCTCTAATGTCCCACCATTTCAACAACTACCTGTTTTCAAATCAATATTTGTATAATAATGCAAAGTGCTTTTTCTCAGCATCAGGGAATGCAGAGGCATGGTACTGCATGGGCAGAGTCTCTGAGGTATCGACAACCACAGTTTGAGGGAATGGGAGGTCTCCGCCGTATCACCCTTAACTGTAACAGTTTGATTGGGGACCGGGGTGCTGCTGCCCTTGCGCATGAACTGGCCGAGGACCTCTGGGTTAAAGGTAAGTAGACGCATGTGAGTTTGAGGGAATGAGACAAAGAGAAGAGAATGTTTATTTTGTTGCTGTTTTTATGTTTTTGTAGGGTCTTTGCTCAGGTTTTCTGTTTTGTGATTTTTTTTGAACAGCTGTGGACCTACAGAGATGTGGTCTGTCCAATGAAGGAGCTCGTCGTTTGCTGGAAGCCTTCAAAACAAATTCAGCTCTTTGTGTACTGGATATTCGTAGTAACCCTTTAGTTGGTAAGAAGCTACCTCAACCAAAGTCTTAACAAGTCTAGATTTTTTCACACTTTGGCCAATATGACAAATTATCAGTAAGTTGCATCTGTAATAAACATGGCAACCTCCAGGTGCAAGTAGTGCACTGTTAGATTTTTATTTAGCTGTGTCCCAGTTGCATAATAATTATAGCAAGTTTTGAGTATTTAGTGTTTTCATACTGGAAAAATTCTATAATGCTCTATAATATTGCTCTACAATACTATAATTCCATAATAGTGTATGTGCTCAGAAACATCTCTGAAAACTAAAAACAAATCCCTTGAAAAACATTTTGCCTGCTGAATGTTTTTTTTTTTTTTCTACAGACAAGGTCTTAATTAAAACTGTAATAGAGAAAGTGCTGATGAATGCTGATGGACAATCACTAGAGGTCAGTGTCTGCAGCTAAATTCATCATTAAGAAAAAAACATTCAAATTCTAAGTGCAGAAGTGGTGTCTTTGCATATGTGTTTGATATTTGCCACAAAGCTGTGCCCATGTTTTTTGATTGCTTGTATCTTTCTAATGTTGTACTGCAGTACCACTGGATCAAGCCTGCAGCCACTGAGCCACAGAGAGCTCCTGTTGCAAAGAAGCGATCACTGCCCAGTTCAGTCAGAGGAAAAGCTACATTTAGGATGGGTATGTATATCCATTTTTTTTTTTTTTTTTTTTACAGTGTTGGATTTTTCTTTAAATCTCTTTGAGATGGCATTTATTATTTCATACTCATTTTTATCTGCAACGTAGCAAAGGTCTATGTTCTTTAATATTCAGCTCTTCACATTGGTCTCTTTCTGATGCAGCCCATCGTAAAGGAACATCTAATGGAGGGCGGAGTTCAGGTGTTGCTCAGGCACAGAAGCCCTATTCCCGTTCCTGCTACATTCCTTGGCGTGCTGCTGCGCGAGCTGGACGCCAGAGGTAAGACGTTGACTCTTCGAGTTCAAATAAGAAACTGTATTCCCTCTATAAATTTGAGACATATATTTAATTTTAAAAACTTTGATAGAACAAAATTATCAGATAAAGAAAATTTAGTTAAAAATCTAGGCTATATTTGCGAAACATGTCTCTTCAACTAAGCAAATACTGTAAGTTTTATGCAAAACAATTACACCTCCTATATTTAGAAAGCTTTCTCCAGGTGTCACTGTAATATCACTTGGTGAATCAAAGACTAATTTTATGTTGGGTGATTTTGTTGCAGAGGTCTGCCTCCTGGATTAACTGTGACGGACCAAAGCTTTCAGGTAAAATGGCTCAGAAACCTGTCAAAAACAGTTAAATTGTGCAAAAATTGATTTAAATTAAAAATGTATTTTCATCTTCCTCTGTCGAAATACCTTGTTTTAATTAGGGTGCAGCTACTGTGAAGGTTACTGTAGATTCAGATTCAGAGGGAGAGTACGACGAGGAAGACGAAGAGGCAGAAGTGGTGGTGGAAGTGGAGCAGAGACCATCTTCTTTCAATCTCCAGGACAGGATCACTGGACGGCAGTTTGAGCGTATGCAGGTCAGTCACAACAGACTAGATCCCTAACTGGACCTTTGTGGAACTGTTATGTTCTGTAGGCACAAAGAACATAATGTTTAAGTTCTGGATCTTAAACATTTGACTTTGACGCATTAGAAGCATCCTGTATATTTGTGTGTGTGTTCTTACACATGTCCTGCAGATGGAGCTAAAAGAGTGTCGTCTGAGGCTGGCAGAGGAGCGCAGAGCCAGACTGAAAGCTGAGTCAAGGCTCATGGAGGTAAGAATAATCCTAAAAGTATAATGTTTTATTTCTCCTCTGTACTGGTCTACTGGAATTTTTTTATGCTGTTTTAAGCACTCACAACCTTTTGCTTTGGATATGAAGCTTTGCTGACTCTAATACCCCAGTTTTAGAGATCGTTTTAGTGCCAAACTTTATATTATGACACAGTAGGATCGATAGTCCATGCTTTTATGGCTTAAATTATTGCCACTTGGAATTGAGAGTTTTTGTGTCTTTTATGGTACCAAAATTCAGTTCGAGTTTTAAATGATCAGAGTATGTTTTGATATTGTTTAAAGATATTTCATAAGATAGTTCAATTCTCCATCTTCGGTGGTAACAAACATCAGCCATTAACCATCATTGGCCATCAATTCATCCTTACCCTAATGTTTTATGTTTGTATATTTGTTTTTGTGAATAAGCAAATTAAAAAAGATGATTCCCTGTTGTTATTGTGTCTTATGTGTATACAGTATGAGTTGGAGAATGCCCGTCTTCGTGATGCCAACCACTCCCTGTCGGAGGCACTTGCAGCCACTGGCTCTGGATCAGCACAACCTGCTGTCAGTGCTCTTGAAGATGAGGCCGTACTTGAGAGCATTGAGAGTTCATTTACGAAATTCCATGCTTTCCTTGATCTCCTCAAGGATGCTGGGTGGGTATTAGGAAAACTGGCTAGTACATTTGTCTTGGACTGTGCCAATTCGGTTCTGGAAAGTCAAGATAATAGTCTTTATTCAACAATAGAACTTTCAGTTTCATTATGTCTCTCTGGTCAGTCAGAGCTATTTTTCTATCATGAATTACAGTCTGTCCTGTCCATATTAGCTTTCCCCTCCTGGAAATGTGGTACACACCTCAGGTCATTTGTTCCACCCTGGCAGAATCTCCATAGACTGTTATTTTTGATTGAATTTAACTATTAATGTTTTCCCTCGTCATCTGTCCCTTTTGTCTAATTTTGTTTTCAATATATTTCTTTTGGGACCACTATAATAATTGCTATTCATCATTAATCAATCTATGTGTTGTTTTTTCATTTAAATGTTCACAAGGTACTAGAGCCCAAAGTGGTGCATAAAAATAGTTTATTTTTTGCATTGTTGTGCAATGTTTGATTTTTACAAATGTTACAAAGATGGTATGGTTGACTCCCAACAGCTTTCCCTAAACTCCCAATTTAAAACTATAGGGAGTTGTTTAAAGCAGATTTATGTGCTACCTGCCCAGAAAAGAGGCAAAGCAAAAGTAAATGACAAATGAGAGGACCAACCCAAGCTACACGACAAGGGATTAGTGGACTTTTTATAGTGGGAACTTCACTGGGAGTTATATATATATATATATATATATATATATATATATGCTCTGTATCTGCTTCAATATTTGTTTATGAGCTACTTGATTAATCAACTAATCATTTCCAAATCACATCCAAATTTTCAAAAATTAAGAAAATTTTTAATAATGCAAAAATAGATGTTTTTTGTAATATTCATCCCCAACTAGCGCTGAGTGATATAGAAAAAGTAAATTTTCAGTAGACTGTATTCTGATATTAGTGCATCATGCAATGTGTGTTAAAAGCCAAATAAGGTGTGGTGCTGATTAGACTGACAGATTAAAAGAAATCAAAGTGAAACAGTCAAGTGCACATATGTGGGAGGGGGGGGCCATGATGCCGAAAAGGATGTCCTCAGATGTGACCTATGATAAGATGGCAAACATGTATTTCCCAAAATGCTGGGCTATTTTGACTTTATTGTAGGTGTGGTTTTAGATTTCTGTTTCATTCTGAGATGCCCTCCATTAACAAGCCTGTTTGTTTTGGATCTGTTGGCTTCCAGTATGTGGTATCTTGGTACTGAGCCCAGACTTTCATTCTGACAGGATGAGTTTCATTCTGACATTCTGACTGCTTACCCTCTTAGCTTGGTCTTACTTTACAGGCATCTTAGTAACCTGCATTTACTTCGTTTCAACAGTGTATAGCTCCATTGCCGGATTTTCAGCATTGATAGAATCACCCTGCAGTCAGTCCTCACCTTGGGGCTTTGGCAGTTTTTTAACCTTTTTTTTTTTTACCTTGTACCCCGACTCACTCAGTCCTCATGTTCTCGACTATTAACACTTTTATCCAGTGGGAAGAGGGAAACCAGCATCCTTGAAGTCTTGACATTTATTCTGCAGCTTCTTTCTTACTTCTTTGTCCAATGTGAACTTGTTCTTGCTACTTTTTGAAAACATGTTAATGGAGGGGTCCACGCAACAGAACAGTATGAACAAGCTGTAACAACTCATACATATGAAGACGCTTGTTTTTACCACCAATTACTTATATATTCCAGTACTGAATCTTAATGCACATGGCATGTCAGTGGAATTTTATTTATTTTTACTGTGGGGGAAAAGGCAGCCTGCATGTAAGATAGCGTTTGTTAATGTTTACCAATTCAATAACAGATTATTTTGGCACACACTTTGTAGTGCATGAGAGAAATGCACTACTAGTTGCACTACTAGAAATAATATAGATAATAATAATTTTGCATCTTTTTTGTAGCCTAGGTCAGCTATCTGCAATGGCTGGAATTGACAAGTCAGATTTCCAACCTCTGGGAAGACCTCAGCTCTCCTCTACAATAGGAACACATCTGGAGGGTGCAGCAACTTTGACTAGAGGGGACTATCGGGATGTTCAGACTAAGACTGATGCTTTTTCTTTGGTAAGAACTTACAATGCAATGTTTTGGAAATGCTTGCAGGTGACTGTGACTGTGTTGAACCTTATACACCGAGTATTCCGGTTGCATGCAGTTTTAAAACACGGAGCAGTGAGTATACTTGACCATATGAGACCACAAATCAATATACCAATATTGCATTTTGGTTGAAGGGTGAATTGTTTAACAGCACCACAAATTTGCCTTCTGCCTCTGAGCTCTAACACTGCTGAACTGCATCAAGTGGAAATTGGAATAGCCTGACCTGTTGTACACCAGTTGCATGTCAAGTCTGAGGCTTTATGTTTTTGATAGCACTTAGTTCTCTTTCATAGAACTCTGCATGGGAGTGTTTCTCATGATGGGAGTTCTCACATGATATTCAGATAACCAGAGTTACAAAATAACTTCAAGTTCTGAGTATTAACATTATTATCGTGTCTTTTGTTACTTTGTTATGACTCTTCCTGTTTTTGGTAACATCATGAAATCCATGGGCTGTATCATATTGATAACTTAAAACAGTTCATTTAATAATTTGTCAGTTTTTCTCATCAAACATCCAATTTCTGTCTTTAGGTAGGCAATGGCCTACCTGCTCTCCCTGGTGGCCCAGGTGACACCACCCCACACAGAACTTCATCCTTTGTCAGGGAGTCCTTGCGTGAAGACAGGAGACTGGATGTGACCTTCAGTAAGGCTTCTGGGCCTGCAGTAGAAACTGGTATGGGTGGAGAGGTGGAACCAGATCGATATTCCAAGCCCGGTACCCAGCGTGACTCAGGTTCTGAGCACAGTTTCCGGAGCCAAACATCCTTTGATAAGGTTTCCTTTGGTAAAACTTTTCAGACTGAACCAAGCAAGCACAAGAGCAACAGCAACTCTCACCGCAGCAATTCTCATCATAGCAATGGCTCCCATGGATACAACAAAAGCTATAGTCAAAGTCATGCTTCCCATAGCAATGGGTCTCTTGGTGGATTGTCTGTAAGATCGAGTGTTAGTGACATTATAGGTGACAAGGCAGATTCTGTGGGATCAGTAGAGTCAAGGACCAGGGGAAAGGGAAGGCTAATGACAATAGGTCAGTCAGGGTCAGAAGGGTCAGCAGGGAAAGTCTATCCTGGGAGGGAGACTCTGGAGCAGATCATGTCGCTGGGTGGTCTGAGGGGGCAGTCAGATAATGAATCCTTCTGACCAGCTGACCAGAGAAATATGAAAAGCTTTCTCAGTGACTTCTCCTTAAAGTTCTTTCTGTCACTTCTAAAGATTGTTGTTCACTTTAAGAATGTATATGATGTAGATTTTATAAATCTTTTTTTAAGTATAGATTTACTTTTAAATCTTTAGAAGGCCCATGACCAGAATTCAATTTAATATCTTGTTGCATTTAAGCCAAAGTAGGGGAAGAGTTAAAGGTCCCATGAAATTAATATTGGAGTTACGGATTGTGAAATGTGTCAAAAATGCAATGTATATTTTTGTATTCACGTTTTACCCTTTTTTTTTTTTGTTAGTCTTCGAGTTTTTTGCTGACATGTTTTGCACTTGGGGGCATGTACAATATAAAGATTTCATTCAGTAAAGTGTAACAGTAGATATTTGGGATTCGATCTCAATCTAGTCTCAGTTAAAAACCACAAATCAAGTTCCTCCCATTGCAATCCAGTTTAATGTGGGAACATATCAACCCTCAGGAAAATTACAGTATCAAAGACATGTCATTGGAGGTTTAAGTGAAAATGCACTGCTTGTTTCACACAATATATATTTATTTTTACAATTTAAGTGCTGACAGACTTTTGATGGATGTTGAATTTGTTCTCAATTTGATTTTAATTTTGTCCTTTTTTTAAAAAAACAAACAAATCTTCTATGATGTAGAATTGTATAATTTGTTGTATTGTATCATTGTTATCACTTGTTCCTATTGGGATATTCTGCACATTTTTCAAACTTGTATTTTATAGTAAACATGTTAGCAGTTTTAAATTGTGTTTCTGAGCTTTTAAATTAAAAAAACTGTCTATCACTCCAAATTCAGTAAAGTCAAAAATGCTTGTGAAACACTTAATATGCTCTTAATATGCACGGTTCATGCCATTAACATGTGCAGAGGTAAGAACTAATACTAACTAAATATATAACACATACCCGCAGAATGGCTGCTTACTGAAATCAAAATGCAGGTTTTGCTGATATTTGTTTTCAGTACTGCATATGTTGATAAAACTTTCTTTCATTCAGTAGGTCAGTGGACAAAATTGTCTCTGAATACTTTTTGGATCTGTGTCTACTCTAAATGTAGATACCATTTTGTGGAGGATGTGAGCCTCCTTCACAGGACCTGAGTCTGTTTGCTACATTATGTTGTTTACGGCCTCTTTGGTGCTCTGAGAGAGAAGGACATGGGGTCGAAGTATGATCTTTGTGGGTTAGAATAGGACATAGTGTTCTGTTTTCCACTACGAGTGAGTACCAAACACCAGTAAAAGCCAAAAGTAGAGCTCTCTGCAAACGTGAAAAAGGGTACATAGAGTTTTTCATTTATACTGCCTTCTTATTGTTTTGGTCATCTTAACTGCTTTTATCTTACTTTTTAACTGCTTGATACTCAATGATTTACATGACATTCTCATTGTTTATAGAGATTTTCTTATTTCTAATTATTGTACAAAGATAGTTTCAAATGGGAATAGTACTGTATAACTACTAGTAATATTAGGAAATGCTTTGAAAGGTGAAGTGTGCATGAAATGGGAAAGAACAAGAATGACTTTACAAGTGAGAGCAGTTTCTCAGTTGTATGTGCACTGGAGTAAACATCAGCCTGAGTTGGCCTGTACTGTGCCTGGACAATGTGTGACAATTGATGATGTCTGAGGGCATCACAATATGAAGCAGGTGTTTATTCACAGTATGCATCGCAAGCTGGGCCACTGACCTTGACCTAATGCTGTGGCAGTTTAGATATGAGGACACTGGCATGTTATGGTAAAATCAGTTCACAGAGCTTATGTCATATATATATATATATAAGAGGGATTTCTGCAACATCCCAGTTGTAATAATTCAACAAAAAACAAAATCGAAATGTAAATTTTAAGAAATAGAACTCTTACAAATGAAAAGTGGAATTGATAAACACACAAACCTTGCTCAGTTCATTACACTGGGGTTTTGCCACTACAGTCTCACTGGGTCTGGTATGAGTGGTAGATAACAGTGGCTAATGCTAGCTGACGGATATTGCTGTATTACTTAATACTACTCTACTTGTGTTACTGTTACAACGTTGCAGCATTTACCAGTAAAGAATTTAATTATAGATGCAAAGGACAATGGGAAGTCAGAATGAAAGTAGAGTTAACTTCATAAAACACATTACCAATGCCAAAAACAGAAGTTGTGAGCTGATGGAAAGAAGGCAGACCCAGGTGGTTGTGGTACCCATGTTCTACAATGCAATTTTATAGAACAAGTTCCTCCTTTCACTTTCTCAACCTGTGTGACTGATGAATGACTCACATATTTATAGGTCAGTAAGAAGTTATTTAATCTTTCAATGTTTTATTTATGAGTGAACTGACCCTTTAATCTTGAAGTTTGATCCATTCAAAAAATATAAGCTAATGATTTAAACATAGTTAATATGAATTGAAAAGATAAGAGGCCCTAAAGGGGAAGAGCTTTCAAGGGCTTTATCACTGTCATGTAATAAAACAATGGGCTGTCATGCTACACAATGTTGATAATACAGCATATGTACTATTTGCTGTATGAATGAGTGTTTCACTATCAATGTACCGAGTCCACTTTGATAAGTAAATTATCAAAGCTCCTCCGCGTCTTTCGGTGTCTTAAGATTCTACAACACTGGCTCATTGTTATCATCAGAGGACACAGTGCCAGACTCCACTTTGCACTTTCAATCAGCACCGTCAGAACAAAATAGTAAAACTGTGTGAAAAACATCAGTCATGTTTTATGATTGCTACCATAACTATAGCTGCTCCACAGATATGGAAGACTACTGCAGCAGCTGTGACCAAGAACAATGTGAGTGGTGAAGGAAAGGGAACACAGAGAAAGAAGATCCATGTGGAGACAGAGTGACAAAGCTGATACAACAAACAAAACACCACATGAAAACTGACACACTTCCAAAATTCCAGTAAAACAAAATAAGTAGACCATTGTTGAGACTACATTCCAAGCCTCCTTCTGTCCAGTCCGGCAAGAGATATCACCCAAGGTCACTCTACTCTCATTACATTCATTCTGCTTTCTTTCAATCCAAAGTGATTTACACTAAGTGTTTTCAAACTGTACGACCAACATGCAGATGAAATGAAATGAAAAGAACCACCACAAGAACACTAGCACAAAGGCAACTGTTATATTAGCTGTAGTACTTTGTTTGTTTGCTTGCTTGTGTGTATGCTGTCTTACTGCCAAAAGAATTTCCTCTTGTGACATTAAAGATCTGAACTGAAGGGAAAGTAGTCAAGTGCAGAAGTAGTTGACAGGTTTCTAATTGGCCAAAAACTCCAGTAATTTCATTCAAGTGCAGCATAATGCAAGTGCTGTGAAGCTACCTCCGGTTATATGAGGAACAAAGTCATCTTTTATAACTGTGCCAAATGAAACCCACAAATAAATAAGTAATTAAATGTGGTAAAGTTGCATTCAAGTCTATATCTACAAAATCTGTGAAAACTGGCCTTGTTTCAAGCTGGGCGTCTTGTATTTTTATTCATGTGCATGAATCATGACCCAGCAATGTTCTGACACTACACTATTCCTGTTTTATTGGAGGATTAAGCTTCAATAAACGAACTTTCTAAATGTCAGAATTTATCATCAGATGAAGATAAAAGTACTCTGCAGGAGCCTGCATCCTGCCTGGCACATGGTGACCATGGCCTCTTATAAAACAGGTGCTTCACCGGGGCAATCAAGGCTGTCATTTCATTATTATGCAATACTGGCTGTAGGCCATCCCATGGTTGACCTGGTACAGAGAAAACCTGAGGATATTTATTTGACAGACTCAATTCTCTGATACACACTGTGCTCTGAGCGAAGGCAAATAATGATAAAATGTGACTAATGACGTTTGTTTGTTGTTAGACTGCACTGCCAGTTTTTGGGTCTGAATCTTTCTGATCTGAAGGGTTTGTCACAGGGAGCTGAAAAAAAAGGGAAGTTAAGTCCAGGGTGGTGCAGAGTGCATGAGTACAATTAATTTTTAATGAGCAGATGTTACTGTTTTCTACTTTTAGAAGTGCTCTTGAACTGACTCCTCTTCCTTCCTTGTTGTCACTGAAGACCTGATTTTTTTACTGACTAAACTGAAATCTGATGAGCAGCCACTGACTCACCAGGTTACTCATTTTATACATCTAAGCTGATTTAAAAAATACCAGACTACAGCCATTGGTATATACAGTGGACACCCTTGAATACAATGTTAATGTGCATATTACCACGTACACTGTTACCTACTCTCTTATCTGGTCATTGACTGAGTTTGCAACAGTCTAGCTGGATAGGTGCAACTGACACAGAGGACAAGGTGAAGTATCAATATTTAAAGTCACTGTGGCCATAGCCATTATTTGTTCATTGTACAGGGAGATGATGCTTTGTACGTGTACTCACGTCAGTCGGTCTTCAACGGTGCAAACTTAACACACCTATTTGCTTGCGAAGTAGATGGCAATTCTGCATAGACATTAATAAATCTGGTTAGTACTTTTACTCTAGGCTTATCTGTGCACCATTAATATAATCTTTTTATTGGTCAAGGTAATGATCAATCATCACTCCCCTTGAATCAAAGTACAGATGACAATGCCTACATTAATTTGCTCACCAGGCCAGTGTCAGACAGAGATTTCCGTAATTACTTATTAATGTACTTAGTACAGTATGTGACTATCAATAAAGCATTAGGGGTTACTAGCCAACTTTGGCTCCATGTCAATAAGAAGTACCGAAGCTAACAAATCTTAGTGTTCACACCCAGTATCCCACACTGAAGGACACACACACACACACACACACACACACACACACACACACACACACACACACACACACATCGCCTGTTACTGTGGTATTTCATACTGAAGCTTTTTCACAGGTCTATCAAACTATATGCATTTTCTGTTTGTTGCATAGAGAACGAGACATAAAATGAATTATGGATGTTGATCAATAGAGAAACAAAGACAGCACAAAATGAAGTTCTGTGGCAGGGTAATCATGTTTATTGGTCTACAGTTATGGCCAGATTTATCATTTGCTGCATCACAGAAAGCATGCATGCGTTTGACAGTGCTAAGAGAGGTGCTATGCTGTAAAACTACACACTATATAAATACAGCTACAATCAAAATATGCCATAATCCTGAGAAAAAGTATGAGTTTTAACTAAACATATTGTCTGCCAATAATACAAAATCGTCCCTCCCTAAAACTCTCTTGGTCAAAACTTGAGTATGAATACATGTAGGAGTAACATGGTATCTTGCTGAATTAAACACTCCTTCCGTGAACAGAATACTCTGTAAATAAATTACAAGCATCGCACTTTTAAAAACAACACAACTCTAAAGCTTTACATTTCTTTTTCCAAATGGAACAAACTTTTTTTTTTTAATCAGACTGTACAAACAATGTTACAATTCATCACAATTTCCAACAGGTGTTAAGACTATTTTGAGTGGTATAAACTGACAGTAAATACAGCTATGAAAGTGCTCCATTGAGAATGACTCTGTTGGTTGCAAAAATGTTTTTCTTTCTCTTGAGATATAAAATTTGAGAGAAACACTATAACAGCGATATCTTCCCCTTTTTTTGAAATGCTTAAGCTCTATTCTTCGGCTATGGGCCATAACTTTACAAAAATGTGGTTGCACAGGTCATGGATAGACAGGAATGTTGTTATTGGAAAAGGGTCTCCTCAGGCCCAGCAAACAAAAGGCAGATTCAATCCATGTCCATGCCTATTCATGCATTCGTCCTGTGCTCATCAGTATTTGCCAAGCTCACACTGGGCAGCGATAAAGCCATTCTAATTACTGGGTTGTCCTTTTGAACTGGCCCGGTCCTGATTTTGAAATGGTTTGCTTAGTCATAGTAGGTCCACATTTCGCTTCCCCAGCAGTTTCCCTTGAATCAATTTCACATCATTGTCATTTTTAAATGCAACCGTCTTCATCATCCGGAGCCTCCTTTGGTGACTATTAGTTGTTCTCTTGGGAGATTGTGGTTTCCTAAGAAACAGGTAAAAAACAGAAAGAGTTACACAATGAGGTCATGTCACTGAAGTGCATATAGCTATAGAGTCTCTTAAGTAAGTTCTCCCAAGGTTACACTAGAAACCAAGTTAAATTTTCCAACATACCATAGCAGCTAATTGATCATTTGTCCAAAAAAACATACCTCAGACCACAACAACTGTTGCGAGCTAGGGGCGTATGTTGAGTTAAGTTCATTGTGTACTCACACTCCCGTACCTCTACTATCTTATCTGCGTTATATATCCGTTTCGTGTTGCAATCTAATGCACTAAATTGACAGTGTTATGGTCAAGGTATGCTTATACAACTTGTAATTTTCAGATAAGGCCACTGTTGTTGGCAGGGTGGCCAAAGCAAGCAGAGGTCCTATACTGTAGGTTTTGTGTAATTTTCATTTGTCTGTCATTTATTTCATTATGTGCAGGATTACAGTTTTAGAGGACACATTATATTTAAAAGGTTAAATGGACTTAATTTGATTCCTTTCTTCCTGAACATAAAAAAAACTGCTCTTAACACGTTATTAAGTAACATTTCTTGCTCACTCCAGCAACATTTCTGTTGAAACAGCAGCAAATGGAAACTTGAAATTCTTGAATCTTTATGGGGTGCTGCTGTAATTGCCTATATGCTGTGCTTAATGAGAGAAGCAAGACGGTATAAAAACGTCCAACATCCTGCTCGTGAGGTAGTAAATTTTGGTGGGTGTTCAGTTAACTGTTTGTAGTGATCCTGTGTGTGGTAATATGCAAAACAATGACTACATTAATTGGTGTTTCTAAGTGTATATATATATACATACAGATACAGTTATGAATTATTGTATATATTCTTTATGGATACTATAGTAAATTTTGTGAGTTGAATCTTCAACAAGAGAGGGTTGAAGAAATGGATCTGTTTCTCTGTTCAGTTGTGGCTAACATCTAGAGCGACATTACTGTAGTGCTTTAGTGTGTTGAGTGCATTGCTGTGATAAAAGAAGTTTTTTTATACTGTGCATAATGTCACAATATCACATATCTCTGGGTTGAATTTCCCACATTTACGTTTTCATAGCTTCTATCTACAGAATTTGACTTTGCAAAATTTGGTCTTCTAAAGATCAAGAATCTTTTCTCTTTTTTTCAAAGCATAAATCAGAGGGTTTTTTTCTCAGGTTAATTTCAATTTTCATTGAATGTGTATGTATTAAAGTCATAAAAAGTCCCTTACAAATGGAGTCCTCTCTCCAAATTTGCTCCAGAATGTCATCTTGACAGTGCTCCTGTGCCCTGTCCGCTGGTCAAAGGTCTGGCAGGTCTGGAAGGGAGGACTGTACAGGTGCAAACTGGCTGCACACTCTGTGTGGCTGACATTTTCCACACGATGAAGGCCAATGTTGTCTACACACACACACACACACACACACACACACACAAACACACACAGGCAGAGGAACAAACAACATACATTTAGACAGTGTATGCCACTCGAATGCTGTGAAGTGGGGCTCGGAGGTGGTTACTAGCGGTTCTGTAATGTACAGCTGAGCCCAAACATCACACCAGGGTGCTGCTGGCATCGATAAAATACATAGTCAGCAGAGACTTGAGGAGAGACCTGAATACTATTCACTGTAAAGTTACATCTGCCTGGGAACTCCTGTGAGGCCAATTTGACATTACATAACAGCAAGGGCTGGAAACTTTGGCATTACTGGGCACTGTAAAAAAAATGACACACATATTGCACTGTTGCACACAGAGTTCAGAGATACGTCACATCAGCATATCTTGTAGGTGACAGAACATGTAAAAGATGTTTGTTCTCTTGTACCGAACACAGCATTTTAGCTACAGCAACATAACAATGTGAGTGTATCATTGTATTAAAAAAAATCACACATTGCCCCCCACACACAAATACACAGATATTAATAGATCTAACTGGTATTAATATCGCAGGAGTGTAAACTCTAATTAAAAAAGAAAGACTAGTTTCTCACCATTTATGTAAGCAACCTTGTTTTCCTGGAGAATTCTCTGTGACTTTTGGACCATGTCTCCGTGAGATTTACCCTCTGGCCACTCGAACAGCGTCTCCTTCAGCTGACCCTGCAGCAGCTTCATGAAGCAGTGGGAGTTTGTGTGGTCGTGGATGCTACTGCAAAAGCATTAACAAACACAGAAGAACACAGTGTCAGAATACATCAAGGCCTCCTCACGATTTCTAGACCAGAAGCACAGCTGAAGTTAATAAGTTAAAAAAAAAAAATATATATATATATATATAAATATATATATATATATATATAAATATATATATGGCATTCAATCTAAAGGTGAAATCATTTCTGTGTTTGGGGGAGTTTGTTTTTGGAAACTTCTTGATCTTTTTGGTCAGCAGGGTTGAAAATATTGTGTGAGCTCTTCAATTCAAACTGTTCACCCGGACTGACAGCTACCAAAACATTTGCATACTGTAATGTAATGCCATTACAGTTTCATAAGTAATAAGCCACAACACAGTTTAGGCTGCTCTGTCGAAACATGGCTCCCTTGAACACCTGTGTTGGTTAACCATTACTTATACCACATCCCTATTACTGTGCTAGGTATGTGGTAAAACAAGAGTCTTGGCACCAATCACATTTGCTCTAGGGCTCGATCAGCCATCAGAAACATGCCTAGAAATGTCCAGAACTCACTTTTTCACAAGAGAAAGGTGCATGTTTTTACTGCATCACTACTTGGGGATTCTGTAAAAACTAAAACTAACACCTAAAAATGGTAAAACCACATCCCTATTACAACTACTGCAGTAGGGATGTGGTAAAACAAATGACTTTGCTCTTCTGTAAAAGAGCTCTTCTTTTCCGACGCCTATAATCTATAATCATATATAGACTTGCCACATAATTCTCTATCAGATATGAATAAATGCCTTCTATTTCTATCAGCATCGACCAATGGCAGGCATTCATATGACACTTAATGACTTAATGATTAAGTGGGGCATGTGATAGATATCATGAAATAGAATCTATTTACACAACCGTTCTGTCAGTCTGAGGAACATTGGACTCTCTTATCTTTTTTAACTAATAAAATAATTACCAGAGAAAGTCAGTGGTTTACAGTGTCTGTAAGTGAGTTGCTGCTAACATGGCTGATGAACCCTTGACCACCGAAAACAATCTTATTATTCCCAAAATGCAATAGGTTTACAGAATGCAACAGGTTTCCGTTTGTAGGTGGTTCAAAATGAAAACTTGCGAAAGACTATATGATAGTATTGTATGCTGCAATAAGTAAGGAGATCAGATTAAGTTAATTTTGTTGTGTTAATTATTCTGTTGCATGTGGAGGCATCTCACCTGCCATGGCCTTCACCCCAGCACAGAATCATGAGATTGAACTTTCCGTTACCCTCATCGACCAAGTTCCTTGTGTATCTGCAAAAGAATTAAATTTGTTAAATGAGCAGGGAGGCAGACTGTATGGAGCATTATGGATCTTTGATAAAGTTTTCACGATTTCAGAGACACAACTGCAACTGGAAAATGTGCATGAACATGTTGCAACTGGAAAAGCTCAGACATGAAGCAAACCAATAGAGACATGCGCTTCTTTACACGCTTTGCATAATCAATTCCAATAACGTAGATTCACAAACCTAAATCTTAGCATTATTAGGGTTATTAGATTTAAATGTCTTGCCAAAATGTGCCAACTTTTAAAACTTTTACATGACTAATTGCAGTGCCTCAGCTTGTGCAAATAATTGTACTATTCTGCTTGTCTTTAAAGATGCATATAGGGGAGGGGGTGACGATTTTATTTCACAGATGCCAAAGAAAATACAATCTGTCACCTGCACTAAAATCCAACTGGAACCCACGCACGTTTTCCTGCTCTCTGAGGTTCCGTCAGTCTCCAAATATTTTCGAGGCAGCTGCAGCAAACAGCCACACCACACACGCACCCATCTCTGCAAAAATCAGCGGGTGTGGATCCATTTCTCGGTGTTGATTGGATGATCCGATCCCCCTCCCCTTCACTGACCCCTCACCAAGCAAAACACTGGGACATGGGGCTTTCCGAGCATTATGAATAGGGGAGGCGACATATTGAGGAGCCCCTACAGCTGGGATCAACTCTTTGAATAAACTGCTTTGTGTGTCGTCATCAGCTCGTTGATGTTGACATAAATTATGTTATGTTGTTTTTAATTAGATTACGTTTTTTTTTTTTAAATTCAAATAACTGGTGACTATATTTTCAAAACAAAAGTTATTCTGTTTGGAAACAACAACTGGTTTTCATTCAAACATGAGAACGATGAGAAACGGTTTAACAACTGGTTGTATGACTTTAGAAATAAATTCAGCGGTTTGCCAACATTATAAATAACCTAAGCAGCCGTCAAATGCGTGTGTGTGTGTGTGTGTGTGTGTGTGTGTGTGTGTGTGTCTGTGTGTGTCTGTGTATGTGTGTGTGTGCGTGTGTGTGTGTCTGTTTTTTTTTTTTAATTAAAAATAAAAGCAGCAGACAAAATACAAAAAGAAATTAACTAAAGTTAATAACAAACACTAGGCCGAGGTGGCACACAAGATTACAGAGCAGGAGTGCAAAGTGCAGCAGCATAATAACTGAGTAATATCTGATTAGTTACTTGACAGCAGGATTATGAAACAAACCATTTTTACCTGTATTGGTCAAACTTTGCATATTTCATCCATTCCTGTGGCTTGCTCTCATATGATTCCATTATAGCCTGGACCTCCTCAACATTGACGGAGTCACTCTCGAAGATGTTATGCAGGGTTTTTATCAGGTCATTCAGAGTTTCTGGCTTCACCACCTCGGTGTGCTCCATCTCTCTGAGCTGTGCTGGAGGCTGTTTGCAGATTATTTGCTTCAGTTAAAACAACAGGTTTCTCTTTCCAACTTTGCACAGTCGTTTACTTTTTATAGGCTGGCGCCGCAATTTAGGGGCGAGCTGGTGATGGACTGTACCATTATAGAAAAAGGTGAACGCCCCCAGCACGTAGTCATTTTAAATTAGTTTTGAAATGAACTCATAGTGAAACTCTGCAAAAACAATATGTGGCTGCGATTTCACCACACTCACTCTATAGAGCTTGTGTCCTTTATACTTTTAATTTAATGTTTTAATCCAAATTATTCATTCATCTCACACATTAAGAACTTGGACTAATCCTCTTTGAGTCCAATTCCACCACGTTGCCACAAACCAACACAACCTCCCCCTTTTCCCTCTCCCTTTCTCACTGAGGCATTCCTGCAACAATAGCCATCCAGCCTCTTTTTGTGGGTCCTCTCCTCAGAAACCCAGTCATCAACACTCTGCCCCAAGGTGTGTGCAGACCAGAGGCTCACAAACAAGTGGGCATGGAAAAGAAAAACGTCTGTGTGGTGTGTGGGGTGTGGGGGGTGGGGGGGTTGCCTTGTATCAAGAATGCTTTGGGAAACACAAAATCTTGTTTTCTTGTGGACTTCCCTGGTTCCATATGGTTTATCTTCAGGCCTTTAATCACCTGTGTTTTGGTTGCATCAAACCAAGAGATTATGACTTGCAATGCATGAAAGAATAGATGTAAGCCTACTAATAGTAGACATGCTCTATAAAAACTGCGAGAAGATTATGAAACAATATATTCAAAGGGATGAAAACGACAATTATTTAAACATGTAAGGGAAGGGGACAAAGAGAGGAAAAAACTTTATACTGCAGATACATAATGGTTTACTTAATTACCCATAATATAATGTTGGATTGTGCAATAAAAACATGCAGATCTTGTGGGCGTGAGTAAGCAATGGTGGAAAAGTACATGAGTAATTTAGCTTAGAATAGGAACATATTTAATTCAAAAAGCAGCCTTGAATAGCCCATTGCCAGCAAGTAAAAGTAAAAAGTCCTCATTGAGCAATTCATATGTATACAGTTGGGAAGATTAGACTTAAAAATAAATAAATGCACCTTCTCCATGTGTGATGTGGAGTTTCAAAAAAATCCCAATAAAGTATATATATCTCGGATCAGTAAACAACTGGAGGCAAATTGGGGAAATGTTTTGACTTTCCAACTGCCAGTCCACGTGTGCATCTGTGTGTATCTGTGTGTGAGCATGTTTGAAGTCAAAAAATAACTCTGAGACAGTCATGCGGTGCGTAGAAAATCAGACACGGACCTGGAGAGATGCTATTGTCCATGATTTTGATATCACATTCAACATTCAGTTCACAGGATGTTCTTGCAGATGTTTGTCATCCAGCCCCAGCTCTCACAACTTAAACCATAAATCAATTCTTATGAATGTAACGCATTCCTTCACAGATATGTACAGGTCATTCACTCACACTGTTCCACCCGTTTCCCTTTAAGAAGGCTGTGAAGAAAAACAACGTCAATGGAAGCCAAATTGAGGGTATTGCAGGTCACATATGGTGCAGATAACATGTACAAAGTGTTTGTTTTTGCACGCTGTTGAGCAGTGGTGGCTCAGAAATACAAAATATCAAACACCAATGTAGATGTCAGAGTGCAACTTTGAGCACAGCGCCTTGCTCAGGGGCACTTTGCCAGGAGTATTTGAGGAATCTGCTTGGGTAGAAACTGCTCACTTTTCACATTTTTTTTCAGAAATGGGTAAGGTAGAATTGAACCAGTGTTGCTGGTTACAACAGGTTGGGCTTCAAACTGATATTCCAGCAGGAAAACTCCAACATGTGTCAGTCTGTCAAGGGAAAATCCTCTCTGGCTGAGGAAGATATTCAGGCTTTTGTGTTTACTGGCAGGATAAAAAGTGGAGAATGTTCTTTGCATCTGAGGCTATGCCAAGTTTTCTTCAGAGCTGCCACATCATCAATACTAGACGTACTTTTGCTCCACCTTCTGGCCGAAACTTGTATTTTAATCAGCCGGTGCTCGTGACAGAAAAGCAAATAGGAAAACTTAATATCACATATTAAATTTACAACACAGGCTATGATAATAAACACTGCAGAATAGGACCATTTAGGATCAGTTTAATGTATAATAAAGTGACTGTACATGTAATTTACAAACTCAAAAGAGTCAATCTTTAAAAAACAACAACAAAGAAAAACAAGTAGATTCACTAAAATAAGCAGGATAGATAGTCTTTATTGTGGAGATTTGTTATCACACAGAAACATACACAATACATGAAATATACATTTCACATCTACACATATACAGGCTTCAGAAAGTATTCACCCTCTTCAGTTTTTGCACACATTGTGTTGTAGATTTTATTGTAAATGGAAACATTTTTCTATTTTAGCCCAATCTTCACTCAATAACTCATCATAACAAAGTGAAAACATGTTTTTTTATAGAGATTTTTGCAGATTTATCAAAGATCAAAAACTGAAATCTCCCACTTACAAAAGTATTCAGATCCTCTCTGCTTTAATTATCCTTGAGATGTGTCTAGAATGTGACTGGTACCAACCACTGCCTGTATCTTAGCTCACTATATGTTATGTTGTTACTTAGATTAAATGATGAGTTTATGATTCTTGTTGTTTTTCAAATTCCTATTATTACTATTAATTCCACACTATTTTTTCAGTAAAATAATATAGATTTGGAGTAATGTACATTATCCACATATCCAAAAACAAATAAATATACAAGTATATGAATAACACCAGAAATTTAGACATTTACGCCACCGCATGGATGATCTGAGTATTACCCCCTGAAATAGAAAAAAATAATCACTTGTTTCCCTGTGCTGTTTGCAGTCGTCCTGAACGGCGGAGGTTTGAACCATCGCGGCTGCTGTAGCTGGGGGAAGGAGGAGGAGGAGGAGGAGGAGGAGGAGGAGGAGAGCATGACTGGTCCTTTGACGTGGAATATTTCCGTAAAGAGACGATGAAGGAGTAGCAGCAGCAGCGTGTAGCTCGAAGCTATCCCGTATTAACCTTAAATCGAGACGGGATTTAGCCCTGAATCCCACTCAGACCTGGGTTCACGGGAGTTGACAGACAACAGTCTCTCACAGACTGATCCCTTTCTGTTCCCCCTACCTCCCTCCGCTCAGCTACAATCATGATAAAAGCCATTTTAATATTCAACAACCATGGGAAACCAAGGCTTTCTAAATTCTACGAGCATTATGTGAGTAACATGAGATCTTTTTTTTCCTTCCTTATTACATGTTTTACCGTTAATGCAGGTTTGTTTGTACGATGGATAGGCCAAGATGGGGGGCGGAAAAGTAATTCTCATGATATGACTGTTCAGTTAATTTGCTGCATGTTTTCTCATGCAGTCATTTGTAAACCTAATGAGATGTTGCAGACAGTTTTGAATGGGAAGGTGTGTGTAGTCTATACTTCACAATCGCCCAGTGATGCGCTGTTGTTTCAGACTGGTGTATAAGATGTCAGTGTGCACGATGCCGTCCTTTTTAAAATATGAATAATTAAACGTGTGCGAGCCGAATCGAGGCGATCACCTTCCCGCGGAGCCTGAACGAACGGGACTGTGCCCACTTTTTGTTCAGCCCTCGCGCTGAGTCCAGCTGTGGGTGATGAAGACGGTGAAGTGAGTTCACTCTGTTTGTGTCACATGACTTCAGTAACGCCCTTGTGATTGACTCGTGCTCAGTCAAACCTTTCACCGCCACTGGTTTTCATTAGCTTTACTGTCATTGCCTCAGAGTGACATTACCTGTTCCATCTCCTCTGACAAAAAGTCTGAAGGAATAAGTTGCAGGTAGCAAATGACAGGTTATGTAATATCCTGTGCTGGGCAAGCTGTGTTGGCTTGTTCTCTTAATTGGATTTATATCTCAAGGTTGGCTGCCTGCCCCTTCTTTAACATTGGTACTACAATAGCAAGGTGGCGTCAACAGTGTCCTTACCCAAGCCAAGCAGCTAAATTAATTCTCTGTCAGAGCTAGATTAGATTAGTTGATTAACTGATTAATTGATTGACAGGAAATTGATTGGCAACTGTTTGGATAATCAGTTGATGTATGACTCATTTTTTGATGCCAGCTTCTCAAATATGAGGATTTTCTGGAAAAGAACAAAAACAAAACAGGGAAATCTTCTTCTTCTTTTTTTTTTTTTTTTTTTTTTTTTTGCCGTTTTACTAATTGATTAATTGACTAATTGTGGCAGCTATATTACTGTCATACAAGACAAGGAAAAGCAGCAGACCTGTGGCACTTCTGTTTAGTAAATCACTCAGACAATTAATCAATTATCAACATATTCAATTAGTATTCAATTAGTTGATTGACAGAAAATTGTCATTTAACTAACTGAATACTCAGTGAATCTGCTCAGCTCCAGATTTATGACTTTTGGTAAAAGCCAAGACTTTTGAATATGTCATCTTGAGCTGTATGAAATCCACATTTTTACTATTTTCTACCATTTTACAGAAAATACCAATCAAGAAAACACTTGGAAGTTTAAGTGATAATGAAAGAAATAATTGTTAGTTGTATTCTCTGAACTTAAAAATACAAGCATAAGCAGTAGAGCTGAAACGACTGGCGAATGAATTGATTTGTTTTTGATTACACTGCTGCAGCTTCTTCAGTCTGTTGATAAGATTATTTTCTTTGGTCTGTATCATTGCACATTGAGTATCTTTGGGTTTTGGGTTGTTGGTCAGACACAACAAGTCATTTGTTGGGCTTTTTCTTTTTCACCATTTTCTGACAGTTTACAGTCCGATAGCCAGTATCCAAGACAGAAATCAGCAGATTTATCAATAATGAAAATAAGCCGTACTTGCGGCCCCAGTGAACACTACAGCTTCATTGTCCATGTTGCCTAATCTTGAGATGAGATAAACATGGATGTATTTGTAGTTCAGGAGGATAGATTGAAATTGATTGGATTATAAGAAGGCTATGGAGGCACCATCTGTTATATTAA